GTGGCCGGGGCTTCCCCCGGGCTCTCTGCGGGGAGGAGCAGGCGCTGCGGGCAGATGTGGGTGCTGCACTGCCGGCCACCTCAGTATGGGGGGGGTGTCTTTTATTGGGCCATCTGCGGGGTTGGGATGGACCTTGTGTAAGGCCTCTGCCATCCATCAGGCACTTCACTTTAGGGGCTGGACCCATGGGGAACTGGTGCCACCCTAGCGGGGGCACATTTGTCCGCAGCAACCAGTCAGCCAACCGGGGGAGGCCCCATGGCCACTCTCACCAACCAGGCGGAGGGGTCCCCCTGCAGCAAAACTCACTGCGCTGCAGTAGCGCCACTGCTCGCTGGGGGGGACACCAGTGCTCCTGCCTGCTCCCCTCTGCCCATCACCTAAGTGGGGGCACCCCCATGCACCCCCTGTGTGTCGCCAGTGCTGGACCTGATGATCTTGCAAGGTCCCTTCCAGCCCTAATGTCTATGAATTGTGCCCTTTGCTTAGGGCCTTGGCATACGTTTGGTGGTGAGCCGCACAAATGATGATGGGTGTCAGTGCTAGCTTGGAGTTTGGAGTAGTTGCACCCTTAGGGAGTTTATACACATGCTCTGGGAGTGGTGGGTGGGGACAGGGGCTTTAATTAAAGTGACTCCTCTAATGACAGTGTCCCGAGCGTCTTGTACATCAGCCTTCCCACGCTTCAAAACAGCAGCGGGGGCACTTTAACTAAAGCTTGGTCGGCAAGCTTTAGTTAAAGTGCTCCATTTTTATACAGGAGAACTGGAGTGCAAGAACTACCACACTCCAACAGACTTGATTAATTGAGGCTGCTCTGGCATGCTGTAATTACAGCCCTTGCTGCTCATGTATAGGCATGTCTTTAGTGTAGAAACCTTCTCTAACCTCCTCCCACCAGCTGTGACTTGCTGCTAGAGGCCTGGAGAGCAGGGGGCAGGAGCTGTAGCTGGAAGTTGCTGCCAGAGAGGCTTTTATCCCTGCTCTACTGGTGGGGGTGTGAGAGATTTGGGATACCAGAGGACTTCAATATGGGTAGCACATAGTAGGGGGTGGCCACACCTTAGTAGAACAGGAGCTGGGGAGTGTGGATAGGAGATTGTTCTGCTTTGGAGCAGCATATATTTCAGCTGCATAAGGGGTGCTTAAAAGCACTTTAAGGTGTTAATATGCAAATAATCCAGGGGTTAAGACCTCTAGGAGCCACCCAGAATTACTGTGTAACAAGTCCAAAGCAAGACCAGCCCTGGGTGCAAAGTAGTAATCCTGCAACTGACTGGTTAATCACACAATAAAATTTAGAATGGCCTCATGTGCAAAGTCATGATCACACAATTAAAAAATGAGGAGCCAGCTATCAAAAGAGCCAGCCAACAAGGAAGTTAGAGCTGTTCCACATTTTGAAGCACTAATAGCTGGCTTCTCTCCAGCTTTAATTTGAATGTATGGCAGGGTCTGAAGTCTAACCCAGTTGGCCCAGGAAAGATATCACCCACTGACAACCCATGCCTCTGGCACAATTCTTGGACCACCATGGCTGCAACATGACTCCAGCAGTGATTGCTGCTCTTGCTTACATCATGCCTCCCCTGTATCTCACCCACCTGTCCTTGCTTTGCCGCTCAGCCTCCCTGCCTGTCATTCCCCCATTTTACAGCTGATGAAGTAGAATCGGGTGCAGGAAAGCTCATGCTCTGTGGCCCCTGCTACACATTACAAGTATTATACAACTGACCGGTTAATCATGCAATAAATGTAGACAGGCCAAACATGCAAAGTAATTTGCATAAGAATGTCCATCCAGCTATAAAAAGAGCCAGCTGGATACCAAGCTATTGCTTGAAAGTGTATAATAACTTTATAGTTGTTTTTTATCCAGCCTTAATTTGAATGTGTGGCAGGGCCCTTAGTGTATCTTAGTTTATAAAGGTGCAAGTAGATGTCTCCAGGAAGGGGGAAATGATATTGCTGCATAGGTATCCTGCCTTCTGACTGACTTCAGGCTAATACATCTAACCACTTTTCACTACTCACTGCCAAGACCACCCGCAAGGTGGTGATGGACATGCAGAAGCTGCACTTCATCAGCTCTACTCACCAGTTTTGCCATTTTCCCTAGTCTGATTCCCCAAACTTACTCCGCTTTATCCCTGTGCTGAAACGCTCTTTCACATGTCCGGGTGTTGAGGGTCAGCCCTTGCCTTTCATAAAATAGGCCTTCTTCACTCCTCCGATTTTGAACATCTGCACACCTTAGATTGCAGAGGTGGAAGGAAGGAAGCATAAGGTGGTGTGGGGTGTAGATGGCAGAGGAGAAAGGACTAACATGATCCATGGTGAAATAGAGTAGAATCTAGCTTGGGGACATGGAACAGGTTTTTTTCCCCGATATAGAAGAATAAATGGAAATTTTGTTTTCTTTAAAATGTCTCCTTCTCCTATTAAAAAGATACAACCTATTCATCACTGATTTGTACCTTGTGTACATGCAATATAAAATGTCAGCAGATCAGAATCAGCTTATCTGTGAATGTAAATTAATTGAATGGTATAACCAGCTGTGGAGAATCAAAGCTGTTATGCCTTGTCCATCCTATTTTCTCCCTCAAGATCCCTATGAACAAGTGGGTTTTCAGTTGGATTTTAGCCTTGCAATGGGCATGAGAGAGCAGTTCAGAAAAAAAGGATGTTTAGTTAGAATACTGTATTCTTGGAGCCTCATTCAGCGTTATGCTAGTTAGATTTTACATCGTAATTCCATTGACATTTTACAAAATGAAAAGTCCTTTCTTGACTAAGTCCTGAACATAAGGGGTAGGCATATATAGCCATGATTTTCCTGGACCACCAAACCTTAAATTTGAATTGTACTTTTCATTTCCAGCACAAGGTATCAGCCTTGAATTTACAAAACCCCACAGATTTTACCCAGCAATAACTTGACCCTGCTGTCTGTAGGAGATGGTGGTGTTACAGTGGCTTGTATAGTCTCTTGCAGTTTTGAGGTAGAGCAGACTCGTCTTGTAAGGCTGTGGGAATGGGTTGTATGCAGCTGAGTACTCTGATCCCAACTCGTTGTCTTGACATTCCTGACTCAGTCCTGCTGTTTTCAAATAACAGTGCTATTATTTCTTTAGTAATGCTAAAAATGTTATTTGTTTACGAAAAGACTTTTCATTCCAAGGTACCTTACAAAACTAGCGTTTAACACCAAACAAACAAACCAGCAACCAGGGAAAAACGTGAAGACAACCAAGCAGAGAGGAAAATCAAATAGCATTGCACCACACACCCCCTTACAGCAGCCCGTATTACACCCACCCTCCTTAAAATGTGGCTACAAGTTGGATTTTGCAGCACAACTTGAACATCAAGAGATGTGGGCTGCTTTGGAATTTTGACCCCACTGGTCCAAAGACAAAGGCCATCTTGGCCCTATCTGTTCTGTACCAAAAGCACCCCAGTTCAGGTAGCTCTTTGAACCAGGTTTGTGTTATGGGAACAAAGAAGCAGTCACTAAGAGGCGTTTTTGTTTGGTTTGCACTGGTAAGCAGCAGTGAGAAGAATTATTGCTCTTATGGAAAGTCATGCTATGGAGACAGAATTTCAACTTTCTAATGTTCAATCCTAAAACTTATAAGTCTAAAACTAGTTGAAAACAAATCATAATGTGTTACTAAATTGTATAGTTTAAGGCAGCGGTTCCCAACCTGTGATGCGCATACCATGAGTGGTACGCAGACAACCTGTCAGTGGTATGTGTTAATAGATTTATTACAATTACTTTATATGACAAAAATGTGGTGGTGGTACTTAAGGTTGTATCGTTTTAAAATGATGGTGCGCAATCTGTTACAGTTTGGGAACCGCTGGTTTAAGGAGATGCTTTTAAATATTTCATGTATCTGGATAATTTAGGGCCATAATTTTAGAAGTATTAAAGCACCTAATTACTATTAAAAACTGGTCCTTAATTCTTTGTAAAATATCCATAGAAGTTAGAGCCATGGACAGCTGGGCACAGCCAAGAAAGGCATGCTGGTTTTAGGATAGAGGATATAAATATATAAAAATTACATTTCACTTGCACTTATTTAATGGCACTGGTGGTCCACAGCCTTTTAAAATAGTTTTGAAATATTATATAGAGTTGAGCAATAATCACTGGATCAGTCAGCATAAGTACTTTTCCTAATATTTTATGGTGCAAAATCACTGCTTAATATTATTTTAATACATTTACAAAATATTGCTCATTTTGACTCCTAAGCTGTTTCAACATGTGTCAGTTATCAGAATGTTAGATTAACTTTAAAAATAGAAAACATATGTCAAAACAATTTGATATTCTTTCAGATAATGAATTGAGTCAGCAGTCTGGAAGCTTGCAAGTTGTAGAGAGCATGTCCCAGAGATAACATTTGTCATCAGATAAAGCTGTTCTGTTTCAATTTTCAGACCACTTCCTCCTTTGTGAGCCATGTCCCATAACATCCTCTATGCACTGTTTAACCTCAAAGCACGCAATTCCAAAGACCACTGGGAACTTTGAGAGCCAGAGCTGAGGAACCTTGATCTAACTAAGTAATTACCTGCTGGCAATTCTTGACTGTTTTGTCTTTATGAAGGTCCACCGGCCCCTAAAGAGGACAGTTTGTCCTGCTTTTACACAGAGTTCCATACAAATACATTCACTACTTCTTCCCGTACCAAAACAGCTTCGTATGTTGCCCTAGTTCAAAACTAGTGTATTCTTAAATCTATTCACACTGAATGTTTTACTGCAAGTATTCCAAAAACATATTACTCTTGCTTCCAAGAATAAAACTATTATTCTCACTTTAAGAAATAACCGTTTTTCTAAAGACCTATTTCTTGTGCAAGTTCACAGTAAAAACATAATGAAAAATGTTAGTTTGAAAAAGTTACTTAACATGAGCCTTTCCACTGGTTCTCCAACTGTATTGCTGCTGTTTATCTTCTAGCTGAAAAGCTCTTCAGACCCAGGATTGTATTGATAGCAGTGTCTTTTACATCACTGGGTTTACTTTAAAGTTCAACTAACAATAAACCACAAAAGGAGACAATCAGATTTGAAAAGTCTACTTGGTGTGGGAAATCAAAAGTTTTCCCACTTAAGGGTCAACACAAACTCTAGTATCTAGGCTAGCAAGGGGTGGGGGAAAAGAGAAGAGAAAGAACAGTACACACCAAATCAACAGAAGAAAGTGTGTATTGTATTCTAGAGACTTAAATAAATATGAAGGGACTCCAAGATGACAAAAGAAGCCATAATAAAAATCAAGATAGAGAAAATTTTACAAGCTGTAGCAAAAGATGGATGCATTCTTTCAATAAATAGAAACCTAGTAACTTGTATTTTTCTTTTCTTTTTCAGGAAAGTGTTAAACGAATTACCAACTTGAATTCATTATCATCAAATGACAACACCACTGCTTTCTATGGATTCAGTCAATTTTCTCATTTGTTCCCTGAAGAGTTTAAAGGTACAGAATTTGAGTCATGCCAGTCTTCTTCCTATTACTTTGCTCTATGATTCTGCGGCTGCTGCATGCACGTGCTCTTTTCTGTCATGGTTAAAAGTTATTATGTTATTATCAAACAGCTACCTATTTTTAGTAATAATTAATTCTACTTGCCAGGTATCTTACCGTCTATTACCCATGAACGGTGTGTTACCCTGGTAGGTGCAGACACAAGTACATCAGATATTTATTCTTTGTGTCCACAGATACAAAGAGAGAGGCCTCTCTCTCCTAGACCCAGATCAGGCTCTCCCTTTAAATTATCTCATCTATTTTTTTTCCCAGCCATTTTAAACCCAAACAAAAGAGTTGTATAAATTTTCTGAGAAGGCAATACTCTCAGACTTGTTTGTCTACCAAGGAATCTACATCAATTTTACATAAACCCCTATTGTTTCCAGACACCCAAAGATGCACATAACGCTTATGATACTAATATACCAATTTTGTTTAATGTACCAATCTTGTTGGATATTCAGTGTATGCATAGCTTCTGAGGCACCTCAGTACAACAGTCTTTCAAGTTTCCATGTTCCTGAGGTCTTGCGTTTCTCACAGATATAATATATACTATGACATTACCTGAAAACTGTAGGCTTGGCGGCTCACTTCCAGTGACTTCTCACCACGTCCTATCACAAATTCTTCTGTTGTCTTTAAGCAGTAGGATATTAGTGTCAGATGAGTGGAACAAAAGCCCAAGGTGCTGACATAAAGGGGGTCCTAGTAGAGAGGCCCCCTTCTGTGCTGCCAAATTTACCAATTTCCATAGTAATCGGTGGCACCTGGGGAAGAGGTGGGGGGCAGGGCTGGGTGTAGTGGGGAGCAGGAGTTGCTTGGAACCAGTGGGGCACCTGGAAACTTGTGGGGATATACTGAGCACAGGGTTCAATAGACAGGCACATGTGAATTAGAAGAACTAAAAAGCAAGTTTTATTTGTAGACTAGTAAACAAGCTTCTGCAGTTCTTTAATCTCTAATTAACTGACTTGAGGGACTAGCTCCTAACTCCCAACCTCTGTAGTCTTCCAAGTAAGGGAGTATCTTCAAATTACAACATCAGTCGTTGCAGGGGTCACATCCTGTTAGCCCCAGTTCCCTAATCAACCTTAAGTCCCCTGTGAGAGATGCCAGTGCTGAAGAGGGAGGTGTCGGCGTGGCCAGCAACCAGACAATTAATACCTCCCCTACTGCAGCCCCTGCCTTGGTCACATTGGAGCAGCTGTGGCAACTGCAGTTGGGGGTGTGAGAGGGTCCTGACACCTGGCAGTCGCTGTGTTAATCCCCTGACACCTCTCCGGACAACAGTGATGTCTCCCACAAGTTTAGGGGTGTGAAGCTAACTAGACAAGCAGGCTACTAGCATGCAACTCGATGCTGCCCAGGGTGTAACCCTTACCAGTTATGCTTCTCCCACAAGTTAGAATTATTATTTTCTACTCAGCTACTTACACTTGCATTCTAGGCAGACCAAATCATCACTGATTTTATAAGCCATGATTAATGTAAGTCAGACTGTAATTCAGTCTAATATTTTGCTTCCAGATTGTTTTCATTTAAATTTACTCAAGTCCCACCACAATTGACAGTTTTATTATTATCTGATCATACTTCATCCCCTTTACATTTCAAGAAGATATATGGATAATCTTAATAGATTTTTTTAGTTCAGAGAGTAATATTAATGGCATTGGATTCCTCCCCCTCCTCTACATTTTAAACTGCCTTGATGTTACCTGCCAGTTTCCTAATGATTTAGAGTAGGGCTGTCCAGCTGGCAGCCCATAAATGGCTCCTACCACCTTTGCCTCCTCAACTCTCTACATTTATCCCCGCAGGTCCAGATACTGCTCTCCCTGGTCACTGCTGCTTCCCTCCATTGCCTAGTCCCCACCAAAGCCACCAGGGTCTCTGGGCTCTCACTCCCTTCTCCAGCTTCTACTTTTTGCTGCCACCATGGAGGGGTGGGAGAGGAGGGAAGAGCCAACAAAGTTCATGGCCACTCAGAAGTTGGACAGATCTGATTTTTACAGTACAGAACAATGACCAATAAAAATATCTCCCAGTAGGGCTGTGCGAAATGTCTCTGGCTGTCTCATTTCGACGCTGTTTCGACTTCTTTCAAGCTCAAAACAGCGAAATCGAAATGAAATGAAGGGCTTTGAAACAGCTTTGAAACAAAACAAGGGCAGTCAAAATGTTTCAAGTTTCGAAGCTGAAGCTGGACTTGCCTGCTGGGAAACAGAAAGTAAGGAGAGGGAGGGGGAAGAGGGGTGAAGGAGTGCTCTCATATTGACTGTGTAGCTAGCCAGTGACTGTCATCCTTTCCTGAGGTCCCTTCCAATCCCAGTGCTCTGGGGGAGGGATGCAAAAACAGCATAAAAGGAAGCATTGTTTGAACTGGCCTGCTTTCTGCCTTGGCGTCTGACAGTTACTGAGCTATCTTGCAGCAGCTCAGGAGCATTAGACAATGAAGGTTACTACTAGCATTGATCTGAATGATTTCCTACTTGCGAGTCTAGCCTAACAAGAAGGATTCCAGAATACTTTTTTCTTTCTTCTAGACACTTTTATTTTATTATTATATTCATTGATTTATTCTTTTCAATTCTATAATTATATTGGATATTACACTATAGTATTTAATTCATATAGGAAGGGAGATACATTTATATTTTATTTCTATACATTTATGTCTTGCAACATAGACTATACACTGTAGGGAATTTATATAGGAACGTGGATACTTTTATACCTTGTGGCATAAAAGACTACATACCTTACAGAATTTATATAGGAATGCAGATACATTTATATATTTATATAAAAGCAAGACACTATGAAACACCATGAAGCGTGGTGGAAAGGCATCTGGCAAGCCTTCATGGAGGGGCAGAAGAGGGGGTAGAGAGAGAGGTATAAAGTTCCCCCCAAAACTCAGATGCAGCCTCTTCCCTACAACTAGCAGCAATGAGGCTTCCACAAGCAGCAAGGAAAGGGGAGCAGCTCCAGTGCCACTGCCTGTGCCTGAGACTTCATCCCCTCCAAGAGCACCAGCCATAGCCCCCACCACCACCATGACAACAAGCAGCAGCACCAGCATGCCAGTCTCCTCCACCCCCATTTCACTTCCCATGCTGAGCCTTGCAGTGCCAGAGGAAGAGCTGGAGCTGGATCTGGATCTGAGTGCCCTAGCAAGGGAAATTCTGGGGAAGGAGGGGGAATCATCTGAGTTTGTGCTCCACACCCCTCAAGTTTCCCCTAGAGCCAGGTCTTCCCCAGAAGGCACTTCAGAGAAGGCTGAGGTAGAGGTTATGGAGGCAAGTGGCTCAGCTGAGTCCGCTCCTGTTGCTGTGCCTCTGCCTGCTGAGGAGAGGGAAAGTGCAGCATCCACACATGTACCCACACCCCAGACGCAAGCGGGTAGTGTGGTCTGGGATCATTTTGAGCTGGCGGATGATCCCACATATGCTACCAGCCTGCACTGCTGAGCCAAAACCAGCCAGGGCAAGGGAACAAAGCACATGAGCACCATGGGAATACTGATGCATCTCCGCAGGCACCAGCCCCTTGCGCTTGCTCCTTCTCAGCCTGGCACCAGCAGGAGCATGCCCAAAGAGACATCCTCCTCTCACTCCAAAGCCCCTGTCCCCCGAAAGCAGAGGCAGGCCACCCTGGAACAGTGGGGAAAAGGTTGACAGAAGGGGAACGTGCAGACAGAAAGGGGGGTGCATTGTAAGGGCAAGTGAGATCACCCAGAGCACGGGGGAGATGCTTGCTGTGGATGGCCAGCTCTTCTCCTTAGTTGAGTGGCCCGGGGTCAGGG